TTTCGTGGAGTTTTTTTTTTTAGTTTCTTCAGCTTTTAAACTTCAGAAGTATTTTTCCATCTCCAATTTAGATAATTAGTAGATTTTCTCTTACCATGATTCACTCTTCCTGTATTAAAAAAAAATCTGTAATTTCCCAGAATTTTACTGTGTTATGTGAGGTTCCTAAGTTGACTTGGATTTGTTTTTCTCTTCTGTTAAACTCTATTTCTGTTCCTAAATATACTATTTTAGTTTTTCTATGACTAAGCCCCCTTTAATGTTATTCCTATTTTTCAAAAAGCATTTCATGAGCGACACCAAACTGATTATTTCATTGACATAGTGCGGTTTCACTGGTTCAACTAAAGATAATGTTAAATTCTTTTTTAAAAAAATATTTATTATTTTTGTTTTATGTGTATGAGTGTTATGCCTGCCTGTAGGTAAATGCACCCGTGTCTTACAGTGCCCACGGAGGACAAAAGAGGCTGTCATATTCCCTGAAACTGGAGTTATAGACAGTTGCTAGCTGCTATGTGGGTGCTGGGATTCCAACCCAGGTCTTCTGCAAGAACAATCAGTGTTCTTAACCGCTGAGCCATCTCTCCAGCTCCAGATAATGTTAAATTCTAATGACTTGAAAGTTAATATAAAACTGGCAAATTCAGCCATTTCCATATGGCTGAATAGTACACAATAAGCTAACTAGGCTTTCTTAATCAAAGCACAAGTAACTTTCTGTTCGCTTTGGTTGAAAGTATAGGGCATTATGTGTCTAATTTCAGTCTTTTACATAAAAGCCCCCCTTTCTGCCTAGATGCACACGACCTTTCTTCACCGTAGTCTTCCATTTCTAAGCCTGTTGAGAATCAGAACTGCTCTGATATGACAGTAAACTGCAGCCTTTGTGGAGGTTGGGATGCTGATGCTGCCAAGGCCTGAAGCAGCTTCCCCTCCCGGCAAGTTTCTCAGGAGCCTCTGTCTGTCTATGGGCTCTGTCTCTCTACAGCATAGGTCTGTCTACGGGCTCCTCAGGCACTAGACGCCTCCAGTGGGCTTGCTGCTTCCCTGTCAGCAACAAAAGTAGCACAAAAGATTGTGAAGAAATGCTGTCTTCTCAGGGTGGTTTCTCTACCCTTAGTCATTGTCTTGGGTAAAAGAACAGCAAAACAATATAAATGTTCCCCTGGTCACTTGTTACTTTGAGTATTTGAAGCTTATTGACATTTCTCTTAGTTTTCTGGGCTCAATACACACGACTCTTATAACCTTTTATCATAGTAGGTTTCTAGTTCATTTTCCCCTCCTGGCTGTTTCCTGGGTGTTCTTCAGTTGATTATCGTCTCTAAAAATGAGTGCCCACATTAAACACAGTATTCCAGATGTGGTCTGGCCAGTACCAGCTCCAATGGAGACACTAATTTGGCATTGTTTCAGAGATTACATTTCTTTGAATATGCAGACTGGAATTTTATTAATTTTCTCTAAGCAATAAAATTCCATTTTTGGCTCATGAATTTTTGGTCAAGCTAAATTGTCAGATCTTTTCCTTTGATGTCAGACTTTTTTTTTTTTTTTAAATCCCTGCCAAGTCTCGTCTTTCTCCCCATTCAGAACTTTATTTTATGTAAATGAAGGGCTTTATATTCATTTTTTCTTGTTAGATTTAATTGTACTTATTTAGACCTGCTTGGTCTTGATTCTGATGTGGATCCTAGGATGATTCCATGATCCAGGCTTTGTACTCTCTCCAAAGTCACTCACGTGTCTAAATTTAAGTCCTTGATAAAATGTTTGCCAAGGACAGCAGGTCTACTGGGCCCCACCCCTAAGGTGTTCCTCCATTAATCAACTGCAGGAATGGAGTCACAGACAGGTGCCCGTCTATTCCAGTAGGCTCAGCATCCAGCTGCAACTTCGTCATTTTACTCAGCAGCTGTTTTCTGAGGCTGTCAGGTGCCCACTTGAAATTCGTGGCAGAAAATAATTTCAGTACCCTGATGCACTGCCAGGCAGCTTGAATAGCTGAGATGTTGGTTCCCTAGGCTCACCTTGCTCCTGTGTCCTTCCAGCCACTCCCCTGGCTTTTCTCCTTTCACCAGTATGCTTTGGGATCATTTCATTGTCTGGATTTCTATTAGGAATTGGAATTTGTTTTATCCAAGTGCTGGGATTACAGGTGTGCA